GGGGTTGTGTTTTAATTAGTCAACTTGGCTTGAAGGCTATACTTTATAAGTTGACTCAAGCGTTGTTTTGCTCCCATCATGGATGCATTTGATTTCAATATGACATTCATGCTATCATCTTTTACAATTAGCTGAAGATAATAAATGCATATATCATCTGAAATTTGCAACTGCACACTTAAATGCAGATAGTTTGAAGTGTTCAGAAGTGGTTTATTGTATGTGAAGTGCTGCAGTGTCAGTGTAATGTAGAAGGCACTCTTAACTTTATAAAGTTTAATAAACCTCTGCATTCGATATTCAAATTATCTGAAAATGTGGTCAAGTTCTGTTATTTGACATTTGAATTTTCTTTTATACTTTGCAAAAGCACTTTTAATTCAGGATCATACCCTCACTGCCTGCAGCGTGCAAAGAGCGTAAAATAACTGCACACGCAGCCCACATTCACAGCATGACATGTTGCTTTGTATAAAAATGAGGGGGGGGGGAATGTGAGCACGCCAATGGACATGACGATTTTAGATTGACTGATGAAATGAAATTTTAATGATCCTTGACAGAAATTGGGTCATTGCAGCAGCATACAGCACAGAAGGAAAACAGAACAGATGTTGAAGGCAAAGTAAGTGAGGCAATTAACGATGACATTATTACAGCATTAAAGAAAATGATTCTCAAGATGCAATGTGTCCTAGAAAAATCAATATGATGTATTAATCATTGAAACATTGCTGGCAAAAGGTTCCATTAAATAAGGGAATAACTGTATTAATTACTTGTAAAATACCACATTCAGCGACACATAAGCGATAGGCTAATTATTTTTTAAGGTCACACTCTTGGTGGGCCAGTCATATTTGAAGATAAATTAATGAATAAAAAATGTCAGATTACATACGATAGTATGTTCTCATGACTTTACCTCACCTAAAGCTACTTTTTGTTATCATGGGTAAATTGGGTCTGCAGCAAATGAATTATCTATCCTCAGCAACATTTGTCCAAAAAACACCCCAAAAGAGCCCAAAACGATAAAGGTTTCATAACATTTATAAACAGAGATGGGCAGTAATATGTTAAAAGTAACGTGTTACAGCAGAGGTTCCCAAAGTGTGGGGCCCGCCCAAAAGAAAAAATAAAAAAAAGAATGCTTGGACATTGCTAGCATAGTGGACAGGTTTTTGACACACAAACGCAAAGCATGAGATGAAACATTGCCAAATATGTTTCCAAACCAACTTCCTTCCAAGCCAAAGACTAGAAAATATGGTGAAGCGTATCTTCCCTTTTTCTTGTAAAACAACGGGGGGTCTAGCAAAAAAAATTTGGGAACCACTGTGTTACAGTAATCCGATTAGTTTTTCAAGTAATGAGTAAAGGATTAACATTGCAAAAAAGTAATTAGATTACTGTTACTTTCTCGTAAGCACGCTGCGTTACTGCATTACTACAGCGTGATTTTGTTTGTTTGATGCAATGTGCATAAAGTTAAAAGTTTAAAGCTAATAAAACAAGTTTTAAAAATAGACTTTTTAATTTGATTCACATTTATATGATAGACTATGCAGAAAAAATAGAATCTTACCTAAGTAACTAAGTAATAGTAGTTAATTACTTTTGAAACTAAGTAATCAATAAAGTAACAGGATTAATTTCTATGAGAGGTAATCAGTAAGTAGTAACTAATTGCTATTTTCAAGTAACTTGACCAACACTTTTCATAACATAGTGAAGAAATACTATATTTAAAGACTAGTCAATGTCTCCCATTCCAACTACAGGTAACTGTAATCTGCTAAAGCAATCACAAGGGGGTTTCTGGTGCAGCACACAGAAACTTTTAAGTAAAGAAACTTTTACGATTATATATGTTCTACCATATTAGCATGAATGTGACCTCTAGAGTATTTTCAGAAACTGTACATCACACTTTTTGTCTTAGATATTTTTAATTAAATGTAGACTGTCCAGGTTTCAACTGTCTAGTTATTGAGCTGAGGTGAAGTTGAAGAATTTGGAGGTAGTCTTCCTTCTTCATTATCTAATCACTTTGTGCAATGAGTAATTTAAATGAATTCCACTGCAAAGAAGACTGATGAAATATCCAGTCAGAATTATGCCAGAAGCTTGTTAATGGCAACCAAAAGCACCTGGCCAAGGTGCGACTTGCTAAGAGACATTTAACCAAATACAAGCGGGAGGTAATATATGCTTTTGACCTTGTATGTATACTTTCGGCTCTATGTGGATTAGAGAAAATTGAAATTTTCCAAATCCAGTTATTGTTTTTTTTCAGTGCAGCAATATGTGAATTATATCACATTATCATAGCGTATTCATAAATAGCACTGCTGCAGTGTCCATGCAGTCATCTCTGTATGTGCAGAGATAACTACACATACAGTAATTATGTTGCAATAATTATATTACATTAAAGCAGTGTCTGTAATTCATCAGCACCTGTCTGCCTTTATTTCCTGATAAGTCCATGTAGCAAACCTTACAAAGTCATTGTGGAGAAGATGACAGTCCATACACAGCAATGGTAATGGTACAGACTATGTAAATATATACCATATTGGCATGTTAGCATTACCAAGGCACAGCAGCACTTCGAAACAGCTTTGCAATTCTGAAACAAGCTATGTCTCTATTTTTTTTTTTTTATTGCATCAGGAGAAGCATTTTTTTTTTTAACAACCGAACCATCAATTCTGATATCAGACTAATGACACTGCTGAAACGATGCAGCCTCACCAACACATATAGCTGCTCTGTAAGCAGTGAGTAATTTCAGCTTATTACCCCTGGTACACCGAGTAAGTACCCAACTGCCAGGTCATGTTTTAGCCCTGCACTGAATATCTTATTTAGTTTTATTACTTATTTGGTTTGGAGACCAACAGACGAAGGGCAAACTACTAATGCTTTTTACATTCTTATATTTTTAATTTACATTTAAACTCTATATTGTGTATATTGTGCATTTTGTTATTTATCGTACTGTTTATTTTATTCTCTGTGTGCAGCGCTTTGTGACTACCTGTCTATGAAAAGCGCTTAATAAATAAACTTTACTTTACTTACAATCTTTTTTTGTGTGCTTCTTTGCAACAGGATTAAAGGTAAACATGCATAATCCAGTGTAATTCTCTAGACTGACCGAGTGACCTTGCAGTCACATTCAATATCAGTAAATCATTTTTGCCAGAAAACAACATCCATGCAATAAATATTCAGTAATCCAAGTTGATGACTGAGATGCAGAAGTCCTCCCCCTCACGTGTCACCCTAGTTTATTAATCAGCAGATGTTTGAATTTTATTTTAGCACTAAACTCAGGGCTCAACAAGAAACAACAATGTTATTGTATATCCTGCCTTGTTATGATCAGCTCTTGTGTTTTCTGGTACTGATGTGCTTTTTTTCTTTTTTGTTTCTTCTTCTTGTTTTTGAACAAAGGCAGAAAATCCTTGACTGACCTGAAGACATTTAGTCGAATGGCAAGCGTATAACATAAAGAAAAACACAGGAATCTCCAGTAAGCACATCAATCATAAATGAATATTTTAATATGTCATTTTTGGGGCCAAACTCTACAAAACATGAAATATTGATTCTATAAAACATGCTCCTTGTAGTATTTGATATATATATATATATATATAGGCCCTTATAAAAGTTGTACAATAAAGACATAGTATACGCTTACTGAAATTGGAAGTGGTAAGTTACTCAAAGCACTTCAGAGTAATCAGCCTCTCTCCTTTCTCTCAGCAGCAACATACACTGAACCTTTAGATAACATGCTCCCCACTTGAGAGTGGGGAAGAGCAGTTTGAACTTTACTCCATGATTCGATTGAATGCAGTACCCTACACTGACATTTACCTTTACTTGTAAGCCAGCAGTGATTTGTACTATCAAAGGTGGATTCAAAGCTGCACCTTTTGCTGCTGTTTTCTTAAACCAAGTAGCTATCGGCATTGTCTGGGGAAAAATATAAGCAACATTTAAATTCAATATTTTGATGGAATAAATTCACAAATTGGGCTGGATTGTATTGGTAAGTGTGCATTCAGTCAGTGTTATTATAGACACACGCTCCTCAATCCTAGGGTCTCAATCCTTGTAACCTTATGTCTTACTGATGTCAGAACTTGGAGTTTGCCTGTTATTTTTTCTCATAACAGCAAACACAGCACATGGTTATTGTGGCTGACAAGTAGAAACAAGTAGACTTTAAACTTCTGTCTCAATTCTGAATCCAGCCAATCCCAGTTCTCTTAAACCAGACACACTCTGGACAGGTTATTACAGGACCGCTCTCAAGTCACTTTATTTTATAGATAGCACAACCAGGTGCAATATATGACTTCATTCAATGAGAGTCTGATCTTGTTTCACCCCTCTCTGTGATGACAGATTACCTCACCTTTTAGTGTTGACATTTGTGAGATATACACTATATATATATCATGGATATAACACTTTTCAAGTAACACTTGGAACAAAGTAGGTCATTCCAGGTCATCAGTGATTAACACTTCCTTTTTTGACTCTTGTCTATTTCGTAAATTTGTGTTCCCTTTGACTGATGCTTTGTTCATTGGTAAATTTATCGGCTTTTTGAGCTTTTGCAGCAAAAGGTCATCTGATTCTCAAATGTTTATTCATGATGTTGCAGGTCTTAGTTTCCTTCTCCAGCTCTGAGCTATTGTAATAAATTTACTGTCTTGCACTCAAGCTTTGCTCCACACTTACATTTTACTGCTGTTATTGGTGAAGTTGTTTTTTTTTAATCTGTGGCTCATCCATAGCACAAAGGCTATTGATACCCTTAATGTTGCGTCACTTCCCCTTCCTCATCTATACTGAAAACTACAAAAATATTTCACTTTACAGTAATACAGCAAAGAACGCAGGCTCTGTGCAGAAGTACTAATTGATTTTTTTCTGTTTATTTTTCTTTATATAACAGCTGGTGCAGTAAAACCATGGGCAAGTCAGGGAGTAAAGTTCTCATAGAAACCTCTGTGGATGGGGTTCAAGCACAGGTAAAAGCAGCCACCTTGAACACAACACACAACCTTCACACACAAACACATCCAGAATCTAACTGGCAAACACACATATAATATCTGTGTGTTCAGTAAAAACCCATTACCCTACTGTGAGTGTTAATGCTCTGGTGGTTAGAAAAATATGTGTTTCCTGGTAAAATGGGCCAGCTGCTGTACTGGCTATGACAGGTTATGCAACCAGATCAGACACAGCTTCCTTTCACACTTCATTTTTTTTCACATCCCTCCATCATACCTATAATCATCAAAATACATTACTGTGCTTTGGAAAATCCATTTTAGCCATTAATAACAGGACTAAAGAGTTGCTCTGAGTGATGGATAGAAAAACAGTTATTTTCTCTTCAAAAAAACAAAAAAAAAGCCTTTAAATCTTTATGTAAACTTCTCACAATAACCGACGTAGCTAGATCAAATTTCCAGTGTGATCTTTGTACTGTAACTTTTTAAGTAAATTAAGAACTTTTTCTTGCACTTTTCCCTATACACAGCAAATCTCTCCAAATGCCATGGGACATGTTTTAATTAACGGCCATAAATAAATAAATTTAAAAAAATCTTTTGGCACCATCATCACTTTAGGTCTTTTTTAAAAAAAATGCAAACAGTGAAGCCAGATATGATGGAATGAAAAAGAAGAAGAGAACAAATTTAACAAAAAAGTAACTGCTAATTTCACAGAGCTTGAATTTCTTATCACCATAATTTACTCTGTTTAGAAACAACTATTAGTATGAAAAACGGACCATTTACAAACTGGATTCTAAGTAACTGAGGTTTTACTAAATTTGATGAGGCCTCAGAGTTAGTATTCATTTAATTATTTATACTAAAAATAGATGCACTTGTGTAATGGCTTTGTGAATAAATGGCTCTCTGCTGTTGTTGTTGTTGGACCTTGCTGAAGCGTTTTCTAGTCAGACAGTGGCTCCTTTTTTAACTCTGCCAGAGACTTTACTTTGAATCAAAGGCCTCTGTTACTTTTCCAACTCAGAAGTCTTTGTGCTTTGTGAGAGTTCAAAAGTGAGACATCTGAATTAAAAGCATTTCCTTTTCTACACTTCTTCAATGAGTTCAGTGAGTTTCACATTAGGGTAAATTGTGCTTTTTCTTTGCTGGTCCTTTCATGCCCTGTCTAATGGATCTGGATAGTGTTACGCTTCCTGGAGCAGGATGCACAGAATTAAATTAATATTTCAAAATGTTTCTAATGTTTTCCTGCTGCATGCAGAAATGTGCTTTCTTCACTTAAAGCTCAGCTTTACCATCATATTAAATGCGAGTTCACCCTGAACAAGGGCATGTACCAGCAGGAGTTTGTGACATTACAACTTGTTTGTATCCAATGATAGTCCAGTACAATAAGAAGGAAAGCTTAGTTCAGTGAAATAGGACACACATTTTAATCAGTAGGAAAACATTTGAAACAAATAATATTTTGATATTAACTTTTTAAATTATTTAATTAGGTAAAATGCGGAGATAGATAATCATAAAAGTGCTAAATTATTTATAGAGCTTAAAACATGTTTAAAGGGTACCTTAATATACTGGATCTTGAATGAAATAGACATGTGGCATTTTTTGGGAATCTCAGCATCGTTTTAAATAGATACAGAAGTTAGAGACAGCTGTTGTTTAAGACCACATAAAGAGGAGGCCACGTTCAAGATTCAGTGTATAAACTTATATTAACAAAACAATAATCACTGAAACTATAAGAGCCTAAGAGTCTAAGCTGACCACACAATGGCCCTAAAACCCAAAGTTTTCAATCTTCAACTAATTAAAAAGTGCATAAACTATCAAATAGTACTGTAAAAAAGAAAAATACCTAAATCTCAAAAAGCCGCAACAAAAATTTAAAAATCATTGTATTGGAGACTCGTTTTCTTTTGTCTCGCTTTGCTTGGTTTGGTTGTGTTGTTTTCTTTTCTTTTCTTCAGTGTTTCACGCTCATATTTTAAAAGAGGCTTTTGAATTTCTAGCACCTAAACTTTGAAACAGGCGTCCTCAGTTTGTCAGATCAAATGAATCTGTGGTTTGTTTTAAAGGCTGCTGCCCGTTGTCTGTAGCCTTTTGTTCTCCTAATATGTGTGTAAAGGACTGTGTATGCATGAAAGACTGTGTTCACATGTCTAAATATGTACACTACTTTTTAATGTGTAATGTTGTTGTTGTTTTTTATCCAAACTGTGAAGCACTTTAAAACTGTGTGTTTTAAAATGTTATTATTATTATTATTATTATTATTATTATTATTATTATTATTATTACTACTATTATTCCAGTCCGTAATATCCTTGGTCATCTACTGTACTTTCCCCTCAGTGCCCCAAATTTTCTTTCATTCCTTAACCTAGCTGACCCAAATTTCCTGTGCCAAGTGAGTGTACTTTTCAACTTATGCTGTGGCTAAAAGTCATACCCTAACACCCAATCTCTACTTGTTCTTGCTGACTGGGTGCCATCATTGTAAGCTCTTGTGACTCAGTGGTGGGCTCCACAAGACGAAGCTAGACTGAAGTGCATTGCTTCACTGGGATTAGGGATTAAGATTTCCCTGGCTGCTTTGGTTGAGTAAATCTGGGGATTATGATGTCGACAGCCTGTGGCTGCAGGAGAGGAAATTGAATTGTGACGGACGGAACACCGATGGCCCAGAATTACAGCGCAGTGAGTCAGAGTCAGAGATGGGAGTCCATGTCTGTGCCTTTCTCCTGCTCAGGAAAACCTCCGCTGGACACCATTTACTGCCTTAGGAGTGTAGGGATTGCTTACATAGCTGAATCAATCTGAGTAGATGTTTAGGATGTTGATTGTGTGCTAAGAAGATTTCTGTGTCACTGGTAATCCTGCTCTGACCTGTGAAGCATCAGGTGGTGAGTACTGTGAACTGCAACAGGAAACACTTACATATTAACCAAAGGATTTCTCACTTGTTGTACAACTGAAGTCACTGTTAAAGAGAATATCTTGTCTCTATGTGTGAGAATCCAAAACATGAGAAGCTGTGTAAATCTGACCGTGTAAGATAACAAACTGACACATTCAGTGCCAACTTACTGTGTTCATGTGTGCCTGTCTGTCTGTGCATAAGCCAACCCCTGCTGTTGCTCCTCCTGCTGCTGCTGCTGCTGCTGTTAAATTCGAAGGACAAACTAAAACCAGCAGGATGAAGGTGAAATGGACCCAGCTTGGTTTGGTGTTCTTCCTCATATTGTCACTGGTGATGACAGGATGCTTCTTCTGGCAATATCAGATGCCAAAAGTCCAGCCAGGTGAGAGCACATGATTGGTGTCAGGTGAATAAAAACCTCAAACAAAGCACATTTATATTGATTAACATTGTATTAATTATAACACAGATGCAAATTTTAAAAAAAGTCACAATTTAGGGATTTTATACAGGCTTTTTTTTTAATAGTTATTTAGGTCAGGCTAAATATTGCAATTAGCCTCCAGACTGTGAGCTGTGGATTATTTGAGATTTCAGGCACTCTCTTGAGACTTGAAATAAAATAAACTGTCTTTCATGATATGATTTTTACACACAAATTGCACAAAAGTATTATACTTTTGTGTCACTCAAGTCTTGCCTTAGACAGTTTGCCTTAAAACTGTCTAAAAAGCAGCTGGAGAAGCTTTTTTTTTATCTTCACTGTGCTTTCTTTCTGGACAAATGATTAATATGCACTTGGTTACAGCCAAATTAATCATTTGTCAAGCAGATCCTCAATGTGCTATCCAGTTACAGTCAGTTCCTTATGTACATCCACTAAATGCCTCTTTCTTATCTGATGTGAATGCAAAAATGAGACACTCAAGATATACAAATCTCTTAATTATGAGATGAAACAATCTCATAATTGTATGATCTTTATCTTGTAATTATGAGATGTACCAGTAGCTTTCTTAGTGGGAGCATTTGTAGCATCATTGCAAGTTCAAAATCTCAGAAAGCAGCTTCAAGTAAGGTAAGCTAAGAACTTTAATGCATTAAAGCAAACCCAGCACAAGATATGTAATGTGATTCTACATGATTAAAGAGGATATTAATGGGAAAGGTCTTTTGAAAGAAATCAGCTCTTTAGAATTAAAAGGGAAATAATAAATCCATTAAAATATTACGTTAATGCATGACGCGGTCACATGCTTTTTGATGAAAGAGTTATGTATCGCACATTTTGTGAGATTGGATCCTATAAGAACAGTGAGGTTCATTAAAAAAAAACAGAGAATTATTGAACCTCCAGCTCACTTAGACTACATTATACTTGCCTTGACTGACAGTATCAAGTGGTGATTCCAGTAGTCTACCCTCTCCCTCTGCTCTTTATTTCTCTTTTCCCCTTGTACTGTCTATACCACCCAGATGAAGGAATGGGTCGCAGTGCCAAATCAGAGATGATGTGTCCCCGTTTCCCAGAGCCTCTACCTCTGGAGCATCCTATCCCCAGTCTAAAAGAAGCACTGGAAAAGGTGAGACGGGTTTGTCATGCACAGACCACAGACTTAAATCTGCAGGCGCTTTTCCAGCATGTCCATTTAAGTCGGAGTAAATTTACAGGCTGGCCGGTAATCCTTAACACCAAATGTCGGTTCAGTTGACAGAGGGAGATTAAAGACATAGTGGATGAAAAATCTGAGAGTCTGTCTCAGCAAAAGGTTGTGTTACTGTAGCCAGGAGGTTGCACTGTAGCACCCACTAGAGAATTTGGGAATGCAATGTAGTGGATGCACATAACTGCAGTAACCACAGAAATAAACTGAAATGAGCATAAAGTCTGGTAAATCTAAGGCGGAGCAGATGATTGCCATTTACACTTTAGTTTGTATTTTCTATCATTTGAGAAAAGCTTCTTTTACTGTAATCTCAGCAGCCACCAAAGCCAAACAGAAAATGGATAAAAGACATGTGAACATTTGATCTGATTACACTGAAAATGTTCTTGTGCTAACATTGCCACCCTCTCACCTGTACATACTAATGTAGTGTAGTAATCAAATTCAGTCATTTCTCCTAATTAATGTAGGAAGATAGATAGATAGATAGATAGATAGATAGATAGATAGATAGATAGATAGATAGATAGATAGTAGGGGTGCAACGATACACAAAATTCACGGTTCGGTTCCATTATGTCATGGTCCGGGTGAGTGCTGGGTTTTCCTGCGTGCCAGTAAATCCATCACTGGGCAGAGTCACCACACCCCTCGTTTGTGGCACCTGTGTGTAATTTGCTGGGAGGCTCTTAAGACCAGCGTTCTCAAACATTC